TTAGGACAGCATGAACTTGATGAGTTGCAAGGTTGACTCGACGAGTCCTAAGAAGATAGCCACAGACTCGACGAGTTGGATGATCAACTCGTCGAGTCCGATGAAGATTGCCATAAACTCGACGAGTTGAAGAACAACTCGGCGAGTCGGATGAGTTTTCCCCAAGTTATGAATGTATGTGTATGCATTGTGTTGTTAGAAGGTAAATCGTAAGAACTCGGCGAGTCACCCCGGTGACTCGGCGAGTGGGAAGAAGTCTCAGGACACTTGGCGAGTTAAGGTCAACATGGACTGTTGACCTTGACTAGGGTCTTTGACTTTAATCAGGGGTAAAATGGTTTTTATACCCTCAGTTCAGTTATCAGTACCTGACCTAGTGTTTTGTAGGGTTTGTAGCCGGACAGTTCCGGAGCAGCAACCAGCCTGCGTTAGAGTTGGCATCTCAGCAGTCAACGTTACGAGGTGAGTTTTCCTTCCGTCTACGGCCACAATGCCGACCCGTCTAGATAGTAATAGTTACGGACTTTGGTTTGATGCAGTAGTTCAGTGTGCTTGATGTCTTTGTGATTCAAGCATGTCTTTGTGTTATGTGTTCCGGACTTCGGTCTAATGCAGTATGCAGTATATGTGTTTTATGCTAGTTGATATGTTTACGCTATGCTATGTTATGCTCAGTCAGTTTTCGGACTTCGGTCCGATGCAGGGGACAAGGTCCCAGTCAGTTCCGGACTTCGGTCCGATTCAGTTTCTAGACATCGGTCCAATGCAGTGGGCAAGGCCCAATATGTGTTTATATGTTTGTATGGTATGAGGTAGTTTGGGGGAGCCCACTATGCTTCATGCTTACAGTTTCAATTTTGGTTTCAGGTACTTCCGCTAGAAAAGGGAAGAGCTCGGGATGATGACATCGCACACACCGCAACTTCAGTTTTTTTTCCTGGGAGTTGGTTCATTTTTCTTAGATATGACTTGACACAGTTTTGATACAGTTTTATCACAACACTTTATTATGATTTTGAGATATTGACATATGATTTTTATTTTATGACATTCGATGTTATGGATTTAGTATTATTTAAACGAAAATTTTTAGGTCGTATTTTGGGATGTTACACAATTGCCCTGAAAATTTTGTTCATGCACAGTTTTTTGTAGTTTTTATAGAGATGCTTGTTAGATTTTGGGAGGATAAAATAACCAAATTGTTGTTGCCCAGTTTTGGTACCTGTCAAGTTTTGTTGTAGACTTATTCAATTGTTAACTGCTCTAGTTTATTGTTGAGTAGTTAATTTTTTTATAATCTTTGTCTCTCAAACTTGTTTCTCTAAAAAATAGAATATTTTTTACATGTTTTTTAATAAAAATTGTAGATATGGATCGTAATCATTTGCTCCAATTTATGAAACTATTGGAGAGTTATATTCAGTTGTTGATGTGCTTAGCTGCAATTAGACTTTGGTTAATTGAATGTGAGGAAAAAGAAGCTCAAATGAGAGCTTGAAGTCAAAGTACATTAGAGAATAGATTAGACACGATTTTGAAAAAGTCCATAGAAATACAACATATCACACGTGAAAGTGATGAAAATTGTATATATGAGTTACGTATGGATAGAAATGCATTTGCACATTTATGCGAGTTACTACACACTCGTGGTGGATTATTAGACGATGGTTTAGTGACCACTGAGGAGCAAGTTGCTACATTCCTAAACATATTAGCACACCACAAAAAAAACAGATGTATTCAAGTTAGATTCTATCGGTCGGGGGAAACGGTAAGTTGGTATGTTCATCGAGTTTTGGGTGCATTAATGCGTATACAAGAGATATTGTTTGTCAACCCAACGCTTATTGCAAATGAGTGTGCGGACAACCGGTGGAAGTGGTTCAAGGTAACCACTATAACATTATTATGATATATTACAAATTAATATAAGGCCTTAACTAATAGTTTATATAAGATTTTAACTAACAACGAGTTAATATTTACTTTATAGGGCTATCTAGGAGCCATTGATGGAACTTATATTGGAGTTAATGTCCTTGACTTGGATAAACCAAGGTACCGAACAAGAAAGGGTAATATAGCAATGAATGTGTTAGGTGTCTGTAATCATGAGATGAATTTTGTCTACGTCTTAGCTGGTTAGGAAGGTTCGACTACTGATTCAAGGGTTTTGCGGGATGCAATTAATAGGCATAATGGATTGAAGATTCTATTGGTAAGCTAATACAGTAATTACTAAATATTGAAAGTAAATATAGTTACATATTCATACCTATTATTTTATTTATTATATGTAAATGTTATTTGGCTGATGGAGGATATATCAATGGTGAAAGTTTTTTGGCACCATATAGAGGTACTAGGTATCATTTACGGGAATAAGAAGATAGTACACATGCACCTACAAACAAGGAATAATACTTTAACATGAAACACTCACAAGCGAGGAATGTTATTGAAATGTGTTTTGGTCTACTAAAGATGTTGGGCTATATTAAGAAGTCCTTCATTTTATCCAATTAGAATTCAAGGGAGAATAGTCATGGCATGTGCTTTGCTACATAATTTTATTAGGACACACATGGCTCTTGATCCGGAGGAAAACACGCCTACCGATGTCGAACATATGCCTATCGGGGAAGAGCAACCAAATCAATTTCACATTGTGGATGTTGTTGAATCAAGTAGTGAATGGACTCAATGGAGGGATGATTTAGCCGAATAAATGTTTGATTCTTGGATGTCAACTAAATTCTAGTAGATTGTTTTTGAATGTTAGAACATTTATTTTTAAGTTTGTTATTTTTTATTATTATAAACATCAACAAATTTGAATTTTGTATATGTTTTTTATTAATTTTAACTAAGTGGACGAATCATTTTAATATTTTTCATTTTTTTTATTTACCTTTGTTATGTATAATATGTCAAAAGCAAGTAACAAATCATGACAGATAGGTGTCAATGGACTAAAAAAGAAGAGGATGCGTTGATTACCATCCTTCAAAACATTGTTGTTATTGGTGGTAGAGGTGATAATGGAAGCTTTAGGCCAGGAACCTATGATCAAGTCGTTCTAAAGTTGCGGGAAAAAGTCATGAGTATTAATATAATAGCAAAGCATGTCCAAAACAAAATCAAACGTTTAAAAGATAAATTTTATGCTGCATATGATATGCAAAATGCAAGTGGGTTTGGTTGGGATGATGCTCGCAAATGTGTACTAGTTGATTCTCCTGAGATATTAGAGGAATATCTAAAGGTTAGTGGATATATATATATATATATATATATATATATATATATATATATATATATATATATATTATTTGTATGCATATCTAAGTATTAAATGTATGGTTTTAATTGTAACTTTGTTTGTTTTACTAGAAACATCCAAACAAAAACTATGTTGCGAACAAACCATTCCTTGTATACGAGCGTCTAGCAAATGTTTTTGGTACAGATCGAGCTACAGGTGGTATGGCTGAATTGGCGGCTGATGTGATAGAAAATCAAAATATTGATAATGAAGAAGGAGAAAGTTGTCCATCGTCTAATTCTAATCCTCAAAACACCGCAACTTCCTCCAATCCAAATCCCAAAGACTCGGCGTGAAATAACAAAAGAAAAGCGGCATCTGAAGAAGTAACACATGTAATTCAAATGAGGTTAGCTACTGTATCCGAGGAAATCCAGAAAATGACTAGGGCTATTACGTCCTCTACTAATGACCTCACAGAGTTAAAAACCATACATGAAGAGTTGAAGACCATGAAGTTGTTTTCTTCAGAAATCATGCAGGTTTGTTTGAAGTTTACAAAAAACCTGAATTTGTTACCGATGTGGAATAGTTTGGATGCAGCTACTAAACCACTTTTTGCGAATGCTATATTGGAAGATGATAACTGAAGTATCTTATTTTTTTTATTCAAAATAAAGTATTTTGGAAACCATTTTGGTTTAGAACTTTGCTAATTTTGAAAGAATTTTGATTATTTGGTATTAGAACTTGTTTCTATGAGAATTTTAATATTTTTTTTAATAAAAAATGTATATTTTGAAGTTATGTATGTAAAATAGAGTTATTATGAATATTTTTTTTGCAAAATGGTAGTATGATCATATTGTGTCCAGTTCTATTGTTACCACACAGTTTCAAACAATTTGTTCTATTCTGTTCAGTTTTACCAAACGCTATAAATTATTGGGTAAATTACACCAATCGTCCCTCGTGCAGGTGCCAGAAAGCATGTTCAGTCCCTATTTTCAAAAATTAACTCGGACCGTCCCTCGTTTGGTTAAAAGTTGCATGATTCATCCCTTTGGACATAAAAAGACCATTTTGCCCTTATTTATTTATTTTTCTATTTGTTTGTTATTAATAATTACTTATTTATTACAAAAAAACATTTAAAAAGAATAGGGGCCCTAAGCAGACGTTCATAACTTGTCCCCCAACCTCTTTCTTCTTTGACACACATCGTATCCACCATCACCACCCACAGTGGCGACTTTGCCGACACCGCCACTCCGACGACACCTTCGGCCGTCTTCGATACTCTGGGAACATCTTCGGGCAACTCCACCAAGCCACCCCCTTCCCTTTCCCCAATGTTCTTTCTTCTTCTTCTTTGAATTTGAGCGACCATCTCTGCTGCTCTCTCTCTCTCTCTCTCTCTCTCTCTTATCCTCTTTCTAATCTCCGTCACCTCCATCTATCACTGCTAGCACCTCCTGTAACTACCACTGGTCATCATTCAAATCTCAAAAAATGAACCCTAAACTTGTAAATTGAAGAAGAGGGAGATTTAGATTGGAGAAGCAAGCTCAGATCGAACCCAAATTCTCCATCAACGATAGAGACAGAGAAGGGACCATATTCGAGGGAGATGGTTTTCTGGCCCTGATTTGTGGCAGTTATATGCGCTTTTGGTGAAGGTGAAGTTCACAAATGGTTGTCGGTATTCAGGAACAAGTTTGATTTTAAAATGGTGGCATTTGAAGGCAACAATTTTCGAGGGTGGCGGTGGCAACGGTTTGTTTCGGTGGTGAAGAGGTTAGAAACAGGTGGTGTAGAGGGTGGGTTCCGTGATGGGCAACCGGTGTTCCCAGTGAAGTGGTTCATGGTGAAGGCAATTTTAAGGAAAAAATGGTTGATGGTTCTATGAATACGGTAGGTTACAAACAAAAAAAGTGTCCGAATTTGACTTTAAGGGATGTGCTCCGGTGGTGGTTGGTCGGAAGTGGTGGATTAGTGGTTTTTCAAGAGTTAAAAGAAGATGGAGGAAGAGAGATGAGCAAAAGGAAGGTGGGGGGAGGGGTAGGGTGGTAGGGATGTTGGGGTTTTTTCTTTTATTTTTAAATTAATAATAATTATTATAACATTTAAATTAATTAAAAAAGAAATACAAAAGGGCATAATAGTCATTTTATGACTCATAAGGGATGAAGCTTGCAAATTTAAACTTATGAGGGACGAAGCGTGCAACTTTTAACCAAACGAGGGATGGTCCGAGTTAATTTTTGAAAATAGGGACCAAACGTGCTTTCTGGCACCTACACGAGGGACGATTGGTGTAATTTACCCTAAATTATTTGTCTTGTCATGTCTATAGTCCTTGAGTCCAATCCATTTCTATCCGGTGAAAAACTTTTTGACTAGTTTTAGACTCATTATTTCAATATGACACAAGGAATGGGCATGATATAACATTAATTAGCAAGACAAACCAAGCAACCAACATCCGCCACTCTTCGGAGCGTGTAACACTCTTCCAAATCATATAAAAATCATTTTTGGTTTAAAGAAGGCAAATCCCAAACTGGATAAAATTCTGTTTAACCGTTTTTGGTTATACGGTTTTGGTTCCCTTTTATTTAAATCGGTTAAACCAAAAATCTAATAAAGCGAACCAAACATCACAAACCTTATTTGGTCGGGTTTTGACACCCCTAAATTCGCAGTAGGAAACCAGGGAATCGGAAAGGCAGATCGTCGTGGTTTATCGACGGAGCATCAAGTCGTGGTGATCATCCGGTTGACGTACTCACACGACAGTCAAAGGTTAGAGGCGCAATTGTAGGTGGCGAGGGTTTTATAGTTTGACCTAATTTCTCATTCTATCAATGTTCAAAGGAATACATCAAAGGGTTTTTTAAAATTTTCAGTATCTTGGGTTCCGATTTCGCCTTCCTTTTCATTTTCACAAAGGTTTCGTTTCAATTTCGTCGGCTGAATCGCGTTCTTGGCCGTTTACTCGTCGTCCACTCGCCTTAATTAGAAAACTAGTTATATCATGATGACATAGAACCACGGTTTTTCCTCCATATTCTTACATAATCTGATGATCTCTAAATGTCTAGAACTCTTTTGTAAAGTAAATTTCTTGAATTTAGGTCTTAGAATGCTTGAAATATGCTCATTTAGACATGTCTTTTTTTGGTTGATATATGTTTCACTTTCACTTGCTTGATGTATCTGTAGTTTGGCAAAGAAGTAACCGGTGCCCTAATGGGATCACTGCAAGAAAGTCTGAACAGGTTCAAGAAGCAACAAGAGAAATGCCAATCAACCCTTAAGAGCATTGCTGCAGATTCTAAAACAACCATTAAGACAACAGCACCACCTGCTCCTAGAGTTGTGCCTCGTGCAAACACCTCCACTGAATTACCTTCTCTTCCAATTAAATTCTCTAATGACACTGAGAGGTTGCAGCATATTAATCGAATAAGGATTAGCCCTGTTTCATCCCAGATCAAACGAGTGGTTGATTTACTTTTCAAGGTCTGAATCTTACCTGTTCTTGTTCTCATTATTTACATTTGTAATCTGATTCCATGATATGGTGATACGTTTATAACCCTTAAATGGTTGGGTTTATTTTTGGTGTATGTTGGATTTCTTAAGAAATGAAAGTACATTGAAATTAATATTATTATATTATATATATACAGTCAAGGCAATCGTTCACAGCAGAGCAAATAAATGAAGCATGTTATGTTGATGTGAAAGGCAACAGAGCTGTGTTTGAGAGTTTAACAAAAAATCCAAAAGTTAGTTATGAAGGAAAACGCTTCTCTTACAAGGTAATAATCCTAATCTTTTATATGACATTATTATTGTAATTCCAAAAGTACTTTGATGCAATTTACTGAAATAAAGTTTTTTTATTTATTTACAGTCGAAGCATGATGTGAGAGACCAAAAAGAACTACTCCGTTTAATTCGGACATTTGCAGAAGGAATTGCTGTTGCTGATCTTAAGGATGCTTATCCAACTGTCATGGATGATTTACAGGTATTTTCTTTCCAACCTCCAAAATTACCTTTTTGGTCCCTAGGTATACCTGATTTTTGCAATTTTGGTCCCAAAAAGTTCTCTTGCAAATTTGGTCCTTATTTGATGTTTTTGTAATGTTTCTGGTCTTTGTTCCAAGTAAAATGACTATATTTGGGACCAAAGTTGCAAAAATCAACTATACCCAACGACCAAAATAGTCATTTTACTGGGAACAAAGACCCAAACATTACAAGAACCTCACAATAAGGACCAAATTTGCAAGTGAACTTATTGGGACCAAAATTGAAAAAATCAGCTATACTTAGGGACCAAAATTGTAGTAAATAAAATAATGTGTAATTTACATTTTTGGTCCCTGAGTGTAGCTGATTTTTGCAGTTTTGGTCCTCAAAAAGTTCACTTCCAAATAAAATGACTGTATTGTAAAATAAAACCTTTGGGGCCAAAATTGTAAAAAAAAAGTCATTTACTTAAAACAAAGACCAAAAATGTTACAAGAACCCCAAATAAGGACCAAACTTGCAAGAGAAATATTTTGGGATCAATATTGTAAAAATAGTCATTTTTTCGAGATCAAAAACATTAAAAGAACCTCATCTAAGGACCAAAATTGTAAAAAATCAGCTACACTTGGGGACCAAAAATGCAACTTTATAATAAAATAAAAAATTTATAATTCCTAATTAACTCCGTGATGATTGACGTGTAGGCCTTGAAAGCTGCAAGACAGATATGGCTTCTATCAAACTTTGACTCACAAGAAGACATAGCCTACCCTAATGATCCACGTGTCCCAATCAAAGTTGATGATGAATTGAAACAGTTATTCAGGTCAATTGAACTGCCACGTGACATGTTGGACATTGAGCGGGACCTACAGAAGAACGGAATGAAGCCTGCAACCAACACTGCTAAAAGAAGAGTCATGGCACAAAATGGTAATATTTATAACAAACCAAAACAAAAGAAGAAGAAGACTGAGATTAGTAAACGCACAAAGCTCACAAACGCTCATCTTCCCGAGCTCTTCCGCAACCTTAATGGCTAGTTGGATTTGCTATTGTATATGTTAATGTTTGGATTAATGAGAATATACCAGAATCGTTTTATGATCGTATGGGTGATGAATGTTTTTTCAATGTGTCACGATTTGATGTTCAAGTGGATGATTTATGTGTCGATTTTTTATGCCTTAATGGATGCTTGAGGATCCGTAAATGAGGTATTGGGCTTAAAAGACTAGGTATAACTGTTGTAATTTATTTTTTAATTCGATTTTAGATTGGTTAATATGGTTGTTTAAGGTAGTTTTTTGGGTTTGGTTGGTTGGTTGAACTAGGTTATAACCCGTGGAAACCATGGGTGAGAATGAAAAACACTATTGATAATTTCAAATTGTAATAAGTAATCAAAGAGTTGTAAAAAACTTTACTAATTTACAAAGATAAATTTTTTTATGTAAGTTTTTAATGATTAGTAATTAATATATACATTGTTTTGAATATCCGATCTACAGGTAGATATTTAATAAAATCGTGATTTTGTACAATGCAATATAAATTCCAATAGAGTGGAAAAAAAAACGCAATTAACCATAGAAATAACATGATTATATGACAAATTAGAAATGATGGTAATTTAAATTACAAATTAAAATGATGAATAAGTTTGATTTAATAAAAATAATAAAAAATAATATGAGGGTGATAATTTAAAATAACATAGATAATATCACAGAAACACACGACACAAATGATAGGAACTTTACGATAAATAGCAACCGACTTTTAAAGTTAATCTAGAATAGCAACCGAGTTTGTAAAAATAGGTTATGATAGGAACTTGTTCAATTTCTTTGTCATTTTTGCAGATTTGGAAGTTTTTTAATACTAAATTTTATGATAAATAGGTCAATTTGGATAAATAGGTTAGGATAAGAACTTGTTCCATTGTTGGTCATTTTTTCAGATTTGGTCATTTTTTTACACGAAAGTTTACAGTAAATAGCAACCAACTTTGTAGAAAGAGGTTGTGATAAGAACTTGTTCCATTTGTTGGTCATTTTTTCAGATTTGGTCATTTTTTGACATGAAAGTTTACAGTAAATAGCAACCAATTTTGTAGAAATAGGTTGTGATAAGAACTTGTTCCATTTTTGTTCTTTTTACATGAATTTTATACTAATATATATCAACCAGTTTTGTAAAATTAATATATAATAGCAACAAACTTCATAGAATAACAACATGCTTAACCTTTTCAATCTCAATACCATTTCCAATACAATCCACCAAAATATCATTTGAATACGTTATACATTGCACCATGTTTCTTCGCTTAATGCATTAAGTTAGTCGGTATGATGTCCTGATCAAAGTCTTAACTCATAAGCCAAAAAGAAATAGTCGCTCACTCATAGTATGCTCATCGAAATTCTATAATTTAGTCTAATAAATAACGTCTTTCATAAATTATAGTTATGATGCACATTGTTCTTATTTTAACCACATTTTACACATTGACTTTACACCTACCACTCGAAAGTGCTCTATATGTTATCACCATAATGCAATTAGCTTGTAAAAAATGTACCTACCTTGCAAAAATATTAAATTAAAACCTATGTCAAAATAAATTCTTAAAGAAAATCAAGTGTATCCATTTGAATCGATCTTTACCCTAAGCTGACAATGTTAACATACAAGAGAATAATGGAGTCGAAAATTTGGAGATTTTTATTATCCCCAATAAATTATAGTTGGATTTATGTAAGATTAATTCTCTACAACAAAACCACACTTACATCAAGAATTATCATTTTCATCAAACAAAAACATATATAAACAACAAAGATCGATAGCATATATCTTTTTGAGGTCCGCTTTTTTCCAAGGATACAGGGGCAGGTTGATCATCCAAAATAGCGACAAATACAATCTTAGATCCTACAAAAAAATTATTACAATTGCCAAAAAAAAGGTTATAAAAGTTCCATCACTTGATTTATCACAACTTTAAACTTTGAAATTGAAATAAACTATTTGGGAAGAAGGCTCACCTTTGCTCAAATCTAACAATCTATCAAGTTTCTTGTCATAGAGGCTCATTCCCTCCTATAATTTCCAAAACTTGAAAATTAATCATAACATAATGATAGAATGAAGTTCAATTGAATATATGGCCCAAAGAACCAAAATTTGGATAGAGATAGCGCTAAAGAGGCAAAAAACGGGCAAATATTGGAGATTTTGGAGCAAAAAAAGAACTTTGAATTTGCACATTGTTAAAATAGGAAAAAATGAGATTAAGGTTCAAATAAACAGAGAAAAAATAAGAACACACCTAGCTTTAACTTCGATCCTTAAAACTTTTGTTTAAAAAGCCTCTAAGACCTTTCTTTCTACCCACTGGTTCATAGCTATCCACATACTTTCTTGAGACTTTTAAAAAGCTTTTTGTCAAAGCAGTTGCAGAAGCACCAATGACATAATTTAAAACCCATAAAACAGAGAGAAAAAGAAGAGTGCCTGGTACAGAAAGTAACCTTGAATTGTTCGTGTGGGTGACAACTGGAAAATTCCATTCAACATCGATCAATTTCTTGAATGAAAATCCAAATCAAAATTGGGATTAAAATTACCAAAATCAGATGATCAGAAAAGGATACAAACTGTAGCCTTTTCTTACTTTAACAAATAAACAAAATTTTGATAATCCAAGAAAAAATGTTCAGATTCAATAAATGCAAATTTCTATAAATTTTGGATATAACTTGCACTGATTGTGACTATATATGTCTGTTGTTGAAGACCGCTTCATGAACCCTAAATAATAGGAGCAATCAGTTGACTTTTGCAATCATATAGAGAATCTACCCAAGAGAAGCTGCGAGAAAAAGTAACTTAGAAAGCAAACATCGAAAATGAGGACCTTATGACAAAAGAGAAAGTCGATATTTCATTGGACTCCTACAGATAAAAAATATGATTAAGGTAATTATAAACAAAAGAACACTGTAAAAGCATAAATAAGAAAACAGAAGACATTGAATGAAAATGGGAAAAAGATTAGTCGGACCTTATAATATTTTGCAACAAGTTATTGCAAAAAACTCAACCAATAAGTAAAAAATTGAACTTGTTAGAAATTTAACATCACTGAAAACCACTGTATGCATGAATTACAATGAAGAAGTAAAGAGAGGATACCTAATCGGTGAACAATTGATTCCAGAATCATTGATAACGTCAATTCTTTCCGAATCTTAGTAAAAACAAAAGTGGAACCAAAACCCAGATTAAGAACATCCTGGACAATCAAAATCAAAACCAATAAAATTGAAATGTCAGTAATGCTTACCAAACAATATTAATCAAAATCGAAACCAATAACATTGAAATGTCACTAATGCTAACCAAACAATATTAGGGTTAACCAAAAATTGGTAAAGTACAACCCAACAACGTCATTAGCTACCCTCGACTTTTCCACTCAACTGCAATACAAACAATTTTGTACATATGCAAGCCAACCCTAATAAACTCTAAAATTGATTGTTTAGGTTGAACATGTAATTAGTTACAGTGAAAAGAAGTAGATAAGAGATACCTAGATGATTGTAGCACCTGGTTTCTGTTTTGGAGTGGGAAGGAACGTAGATCAAGAAGAAGAGGAGGAGGTCAGGCATCTTTGAGCTATCTCAGTGTGTTCCTTAAGGTATAACTCGATTTCCCCCTGTTTTCATGCTTATAGTCCCTTTTAGCTCCATAGAAGTCCTTCTTGAGCTTTTCCCCTAAGCTTGTTGTGCTTTATGGGTTGTAATAACTTGTTAGCCTTTAGATCTAGGTGTGGTTGAGCTCCAGGTGCTTAGATCTTCTGTCTTTATGGAGCCATATTACATGAAAGCCCTAGATCTACTATTTTGGTGCATTTTGAGCCCTAAAACCTTTATTGGTGATTATTTACACGTAAAGTTGGAAACTTTATGTGTTATTCATGCCCTAGAAACCCAGATCTATGAATGGCATGAGCTGGATCCAAGCAGAATCGCGTGTATAGTTTTTGCATGTGGCCGACTCGGCGAGTCGTTCATCTAACTCGGCGAGTCGAGTCGCGAGTGTCCCCTTTTTCGCATTGGCGGGTTGGGAGTAATGAGTCATTGGGTGTGACTCAGTGGGTCGGAAGCTAGACTCACTCATGAAGTCACTCGGCGAGTCTATACCATGACTCGGCGAGTTCATGGCAATCTTCTTATCTCAAGAACAACTCAGCGAGTTGTTCATACAACTCGGCGAGTCACAGCTTAGAGTGTTCTTCGAATGAAGGTGAACTCGGCGAGTTGTTCATACAACTCGGCGAGTAGGATGAAGGACTATTGGCCTTGGGTATAGAGAAAGGGACTCGACGAGTTGGCAAGCCAACTCGGCGAGTCTGGTCAACTGGCAGTTGACTGTGACTTGACTCATGACTTGTTAAGGGTAAATGGACAATTTACCCTGAAGGCGGTTATCAGTATTTGACTGAGTATTTTGTGGGAATTATAGCCGGAGGATTTCCGGAGCGGCAGCAGCAGCAGACAGTCAATTTCCACATAGATTGGCAGTTACTTTGAGGTGAGTTTCCTTCCAGTAGTAACGGGTCTAAGGCACCAAGGCCGACCCGTGTAGACGAGACGTTAGTATTAAAGTGTGGGCCGAGCTCGTATCTCTTAATTGAGTTGATTATGATATATGCCAGTATGATAGAGTTGTCTATACTTGTTATCTGTGTGATACTTGTATGATATGGGTTAGCGGCTGAGTGTGGGCTAGGCCCGTATCTCTCCGAGAGTGGAGTGTGGGCGAGGCCCGTATCTCCCAAATAGTGGAGTGTGGGCGAGGCCTGTATCTCCCGGCTAGCGAAGTGTGGGCAAGGCCTGTATCTTCATGAGTGTGGGCAAGGCCCGTATCTCCTAGCTGCATGTTATATGCTTGCATGGTATGAGGTATTATGGGGGAACTCACTAAGCTTCGTGCTTACAGTTTTCAGTTTTGGTTTCAGGTACCTCTTCTTCGAAGGGGAAGGAGCTGGTGCGGTAGTGGTACATCACATACACACACCTGCTCGTATTCCGCATTACAATATCTTCCTGGGAAAATTGTACTCTGACATTTTTATGATTTTGACAATGTTTTCTGACATACAACATCTTTTGGTGAAATGAAATGATTGTTGAATGAATTATTCCTAATATTTTGCTAAGTACATGTTTTAAAAACGAATTTTTTGGCTTGCATTTTTGGGATGTTACAATGATAGAGCAAGACGTGAAGAAAAAAAGACCCAGAGGCAATATTTTTAGATAGTCCATAACATATCTCAAAAAAATTGTATATTCA